GGTCTCCCAGGATCTTTCTGTTAGCACAACGAAGAAGACACAGAGTCAGATAGTCAAAATATTATTTCTGCTTAGAAATAATTGGATAAACACAATGTACACCTATAAACCAATAAACTAAAACACTAAGGCCATGTTGTCCAATAAACTAGCAAAAAATTACATCTTTTTACCAACCTTTAAAACTTAAATGGGAAAACCCTCAGTTGTGTATAAACTCCTACAGTGCTATATATACACTGTAGTTGTTAATTCAAGTCCAGCTGGACACTAAAGAACATCGCAAGAGTAAATTTAAGGTTGGTTGTGTACTCAAAATCTAACTAGTCAAGTAAGAAATCTTAAATTTGCAGACCTCAATAGATCTCTTTATGGACCATAATAATCATAATGCGTTTATTACTTCACTTAAAATGTGTTTTTTAGCCTTTTTCCTACAGAAGCCCTTTTTTCTTACAAATGTAAAAATAGCATAGAAATAGTGTAACTAAAACACATGAAAAAACAAACTAACCAAAAACTAGCAGACTAAATGAGGTCTTCCAAACATTCATCACTTCATATACTGGCAACCGACCTTAACAGTAACTAGCTGCATTTCATTATGAACAGCATGGATTTTAGACTATCATGCTACTCCTTTTAAAAAAAGGAAAAATGAGGCATTGTTTCAAACAAATGAAACTACATACTTCAACACTTTACAAGGTCAAACAAGTGTCAAAGTTTATCTTACACAATTTTACAATCAAGGAAAAGAGGAGACATTTTACTTCAATTAGAACTGAGCTATGTGGACAGCCAGTTAGTCAGCAAAGTATGCTACATGTATCCAAGTGAACAGACAGTGGCTCTCCTATGGCTCAGCAAACCTCCACACCGAAGTTATTGCAGTTGTTGTGCAGCATGAGATGATCTTTCACCAGCACAGTAATCTCCATCTGACATTATGCCAAGTTATGCTAATCACAAAAAAAGGGTCTAGACAAAAAGGGGTCTAGTTTTCAACATGCAAAACACAGCAAAAATATGAAACCCAAAAAACATTAAAACCAACTGCATGTAACTTTCTCTAAAGTCACAGAGACCAGATTCATAACATCCATAACATGAAAATGATGCTTGTTTTTTTTTAGTCTTCTAAAATTCTGCTGAACTTTACTGCCCAAGTCTTAACTTGCCATTTTAAGTCAGCTTCAAGATAAAGAGTCTACCAAAGAATAGACTAACTAGATCATCTAACCAGCATAGAATGTGCCAACACTGAAAGAAAAGTAATCTGAGTCACTGCAGGTCTCTCAGTAATGCTTCAGTAACTGGAAAACAGAGACATCAAGGACAGCAGAATTTGCAGGCATCCCTCATGACAAATGTGTCTGTGAACTCAAATCTTAAATTCAACATATCAGTCATTGGACTCCTGACAAAGCTAGGAAGAATGGAAGTCTTGAAGGGGTTTTATTGTACATGCTTTTGAACAGAGCAGCAATAAATAATCTATTTTCTTTTCGAACTCTGTTTAAGAACCTGCCATTTTCATTGTGCTTTTAAAGGAACAGTCCACGTCTTCACTCAAAAAAAATATATCTTTTCAGTTTTATTTATTTTTTTTGCTCACTTCTAAAGTAAGACATGGCACAAAACTTCTCTCATATGTTTCCATGGGACATAGAACAAGACAGTAAAAGAGCTTAGAAACTCTCACATACTGCTAATGTGGTGTCACAAAATACTCCAACATCTATACCTTCATCTTAGTCACTACGAATAATGTATCATGTTGATCTTCATTAGCAATGGCATAATTATCACTGTTCAAACATTGACTTCAGGTACTCTGACAAAATATGCATTTGTAAGAACCTCATAAAGGCTGCATGCCTGGAGCAAAGGGCACCCAAAACTGGAACACGAAGAGGCCCAACTGCACCTCCGCAGTCACGACAGACAGCATCAGGAATGCTGGGAATGCAATGAGACTCGCGTGGTGGTGGCTCTTTTTGGCTATATTTAATATAGCAAATGCATTAGCACTAAAAAGGTCACACACGCTGGAGTGTCAAGTAGTGTTTGCTTATGAGAGTGCCGCACACATGGCCTTTAAAAACATCAACAGAGACATGGAATGACAACTGTTGTTGTGCCAACAGGGTAGGGCGAGTCATGCAGGTCGCACCACAGGCATGCTGCTACCTGCAGAGATAACTTATGGGAAACCTGCATCTGCTTAATGACACACAGCATTAGGTAAACAGAGCAAATTTCTTCCAGGAATGACTCAGTATTCATCTTATATCTTGAATGTGTAAGACGGGTCCACTATGCCTCAGATCCTCTGCTGACATCACAACAACATGAAACCCTACAACAAAACCTACATTAAGAAATATGTTTTAGGGTTAATTTATGGTTAAACTTGCACAGGGCATTATGTCATGATGTCTCCCCTCCACAGGAAACAGTACCACAGCATTCCTGTCAAGGCTAACAGCAGAATGATCGTAACCTTTACTTGGTTCATATATACAATAATTCTTATAAGGACGTTGAATTTTGTGAGACACTTGCAGGGATCCAGACAGTGCCATGAAACTCATTCAAGTCTGAGAACAGTTGACTGATACTGTGCTCAAACCTGATACTGTGCTCAAACACTAGGCTTGTCACAATTATTACATAATCGCCTGATCACAACTGTTTGAACTGAAAGTAATTATTTTTATTGAGGAAACTACATGCAAATAAAAGAAAGCCTACAATGCATTTACTTAGACATCATGGGCTGTAGAAACTTCTTTTTGTCTTAACTTAAGATCAGATAGGTCAAGATAAAATTTTTCACAAATTTGTAATACAGATGCCAATCTTATCATAATTTGGTAATCTTCTCATAGCATGTTAACCTACTTGATTGAAGTCGACAATCAACCCCATCAGTAACTGGCCATAAGCGCACAGCTGAAACATAAATACGTCATCAAATAATTGTTATTTAGTCAGACAGTTAATGTTAGCTACCGTTACTGATGTAAAAAAGTCAAACAGAACTAAAGCATGATAAACTTGAAGTTAAGAAAACTGTGACCACGCTTTGTGCTGTTTATCCAGTTTAAGTTTCAGATTCTCAAACGCTTTAGGTGACCATGCTGTTATTCCTCCTAATAAAAAGCCACATGTTCAGCTTTGTATCCTCATTATTCACCACCATCACTGTAATATTTTACCTGACGAGTTTATCAACATTAACACACAAAGGTAATAAGACAGTAAGATGGAGATCGTGTCTGCAGTGTCTGGGGCTTTCAAAACGCTGTTAGGGAAAAAAAAACCAACACATTTTCAGTTTATTCAAAATACACTGAAAATGGGTACATCATTATGTTAGTTATAGTGAACTCTGCTGCCTCTCACTGCATAAAATGATAGAAACTGACAGTAAAACAGAAGTTAAGACACCTCTGGAGTTGTCTTAAAGCTAAGACAGAATTTAGGAAGTGTTATCTCGTTAGGAGACTTCTGTATTACTTTTTTCTTATGTGGAGTTATGACAAGGTTATGAACTTAAGAACTTGTTCAGTAATAGTTTCCATCCTGAATTCAGTACTAACTTATTTTGCCATCATGATTAAGTAGATAAGATTTCAGACTTAAGAAGTTTCTGTAATATGGCCCAGGTCTAAAGAAAACGTCTAACTTCTAACTTGTGCTATAAGCACCATTAGAGAGCAGCAGTGAGTAAATGTTTGTTTATTTGAGCTTAAGCTGACGGTCATTGGGAGCAACTAAGTATCAACAGCTAGAAAACAAAATAGCTAATCAACCTTAATCATTCTGTATTTTAACTGTTGCATACAATAAACAAAAAAATGAAACAATTAAAGTAATTGCAATTATTTATATAAAAATCAATCATCAGCTAAAATTCATAACTGTGACAAGCTACCGAATACAAATTCCAAACACTTTGATAATCACACGACACAACATGACAGACTCCTCAGCAACTGGTGGTGGAGCATTTGTCCACTTCAAAATGTATGTTTACACCAAAGTTTGCCCTTTGTCATGTCACACAAACCTAAGTCAAAGAGGACTTTACTGTTTATAAAATTCTGCTGGGGCTTAATGATGTGAAGCTGGTCGAATATTTTCCACATTTCCACACTCAAAGGCAAAAGGCAAAGCACTAGTACACTTAGTTTAAAAAAAAAAAAAAGGTACTCAACTGAAAGAAAGCTATGCTCAGCTAAGTAGGTTAAGAAGCGCTATTGGCCAGACTCCTGACAAAGATGTCATCAGCACAAGTGAAGGCAACACCCTGGAGTCTCCATTAGGTGGTTATTTAGGGCTACCTTAATCCGGCCCTGGATATTGTGTGAGGACGGTGGATTCCCTGTCCCTATATGGAATGATGGTGATTAGGGTGCATTTCAGTAATTTATTCATAGCTAAAACTCATCAGTATCATTATCACTCCATTGATAGCACTGGAGTGTGCATGCTGGGGAAGAGAGGTTTGAAACAAGGGCATCTACACACAAAGAGGAAATGTGGATCCCTAACATACAACTGTGTGAGTGATCAGGGTCGGAGTGTATCTCAGAGCATGGGAATCTCCCTCTCCCACAGAACAGCGAGAAACAGTGAGTCATGGGAAAAAGAGCAGGCATTACAGCTAGAGCTTTGCTCCAGAGTCACAGGGCAGGTCACATAGCACCACAAAATGGAAAATAAATTGGTCTAATGGAGGATGCCACATGTTATCCACTTCCAGTACACTTTGACTACGAGTTATATACTTTCCATGCAATCTCACTGTCAAAGGACACTGTAAAAGGTTACAAAGAACGTTTGATGGACAAGTACAATGAAAAGCAGATCATTATACATAGCACAGTGTGGGAAGAAGCTAGCACAAACACTGGTGTTAAAGGGGAACAAAAATCTAAACAAACAAACACAAACAAATATACACACACAAACACACACTCAGTACTCACAGATAGAGCTGGCAGGACTTCCTCAATCTTCCCCACTGTTCTGAGAGAAATGCCCCGAGCCAGCCAATCTGCAGTGAAAAACCATCAGCCTGTTAGTTTGAGCCCAACACTTGTGTTTATTTTAAGCCTTTGGCCTTTGCAATGCCACAAGACCGGTGGCTGATTGAACCAGCAAGTTCAAACATAGGCTAGATATAACAGTGTTTACCAAATTTAAGTCTATGCATAACTAAACCAGTCCAGGCTCCACCTCATAAAAAGGTTTTTGCTGGACCACCTAGCAGGCCGGCCTAGAAGAGCCAGTTTCGCTCACTGACTGACTGTGTGAAACACGCATATTCGAGGAGCATAGCTGGCCCACAGTAGGTGGCGGTAATGCAATGCACCCTACGTTAGCCTGTCAACAGCCATCTGTTCAATAGAAGACTCAGGCACCAGTTACACAGTGTTAGGTAAGATATGGTTAAGGCATTGATGCATTTCATGCAGGTGTGTGTCCTTGCTTGAAATATTATGTTCTGGGCTGCCGTTGCCATGAGCCAACAGAACGTTTATCGCAAACTGAGGGAGCTCTAGTGGCTCCTTGTCAGCTCTTTTTCGGCCGATTGAGCATGTTAAATCGGCATTAGCCAAGAGAGAGCTGCAGGAAACGAAAAAGAAAAAAAAAGTAGCCAACTTTAAGTGCAGAGTATCAGACTTGTAACACATTTATCACTATGGACAAGCACTTGTTAATGTAATGTTTATATCTGTATATGCAATGTATTTGAATATCAACAAGAAAATTTCTTGTAAAATTTACTAAAATCTAAAACAGCGCAAGACAAGAACAGTTAATTAAACTAAACAATGCATTAGTAAAAAGGGAGAGTGGCTCGTAGTAGTGGTAGTGGTAGTTAATACTTCATTCCCTGTTTAAACAGTCTTTTAGGTAGCCTTTTTTCCAGCCTGCGGCCAGCTAACAGTGTTTTACTTTCATTTTCTTGCGCTGTATGTCACTTATGAGATGGTGAAATGCTTTTTAAATGATGTGAGACTGGCTATTTAATTGTGAGATTACTTTTTCTTGGAAGTAAGAAGTAAAGATATCCCATCACAGTTTGAGAGAAGCAGTAATTTGTAATGCAATTTAAAAAAAAAGCGTAAAATTCACTGGTCAGTGATAGGTCAGCTTCCTTATTTGGAGCATAACCATAGTTTTGTATTCTTGGGGCAGATCATGTGTCTAGCCAAGGGCTAATTCTGGACCATATGTTTGTGAACTGGTTAACTTCATCGAAAAACCAAACAATTAAAAGATTTAGCTGGACAAAGCTACCTTCCCATTCTGAGCAAGCCAAGAAAATAACACAATCCATCACTTACTTCATGTGCAAAGACCTGCGTCCATACAACGTTGTATGCTCAAGACACTGGAACCCAGGTATGTGACTACGTATTTTCAGAGCCGTACCTAAGATTTAACAAAAAAGTGAAGCTTAAAGTTGAGGACTATGAGTTCAGCAGAAGGGACTGCATTAATTTGCAATGCATGCACACTGAGAGTAGTGGATTCCTATGTTACTATAACAGCACGATATCTCACAGAGGACTGGTGAATGCTGTCTCACGTTCTCCAAACTAGAGCAGTACACGAAAGTTACACTGGGGTAAACATTGCAGACCTTCTGCAAAATGTAGCTAATTAGAGATTGGGAAAAAAACCCAGTGATTGTATCTGCAGTTGAAAAGGGCAATAAATTGCAGCATTGCAATATATGTTACAGCAATACTCAGCATGTCGCAATATTTTTAAAATCGCAAATCATATCGTATTGTGACTAAAGTATTGTGATATTATCATATCGTGGGGCCTGTGTGTGTGTGTGTGTGTGTGTGTGTGCGTGCAGTTTTTTGGCAGTGTTGCGGGCATCAAATTCTAAATATGTTTAAAAACAAAAATACAATCCAGTTGGTCGCTAAAACATTGAAAGTAATTTTTTTATCAGTTAAATAAAGGTTTAAGAGAATTAACGAAATCACACATTTTTGTTTTCTTGTATCGTTTTAGCCAGTATATTCAACAAAGGCTATGGTCAACATCATAATTTATAACTAGCAATAAGTTAAAGCCCTCCTATTAGTTTATGGAAAAATATGTAAAAAAAAATAAATAAATAAAAATAAAAAATAATAATAATAATCTTGAAAATAATTTTCATTCATTATTACTGGTACTTTTTCCATGTGTTTAACATTCAGCCATTTGGTTAAAATGGTTGGCATTTTGGCAGTGAAATAATGAACTAATGAAATGATGATCTTTAAGGTCATAACTCACTGTGAAGTGGAATGGCCACATAACTAGTGCCAGATCACAATACCACATACATGGCCACTTTTATTTTGTAGTGGAACTCCAGGTTTCTATATTTCTGATCTTTTCTGCACTGTTAAACCTGAAAACATATTAAATGGAGAAAAGCACCACACACAAGTTGGACAGCCAGACACTGGGTTTAGTGACAATTTGAAAAAAAGAACACACACAGACAGTCATTAACATGGTAGTCATAAAGTTAACCCTTCAGTTTGAGGTACAACATAGCACACAGAGTTTTACTGGATGCTGTAAAAATTCTTCAGTTATACAAAGATAAACCTTGCCTTCTAAGTAGTGTTTAAAAATAGCCTGGTAGAATGTTATGCATCCAGAAAGAACATTAGTGGTTTTACCTACATCATATGGCATCCCCCCTGCACTCCCAAATGATGTTTAATTCACTTTTAACATAAATGCATTGCACGTACCATAAAATACTCACACACTATGAGAATTAAACAGGGCAGATTTACTACCCCACAACATCACTTTAATCTCTGCTTTCAAAGATAGTAGTATGTTGTACAACAATGCAATGTATCATGGTGAAACAGAGTAACAAATAAAAAGATAAAGCTAATGAACAAACAAACAAACAAAAAATTAAATAAATGCATGACATTTTCTATTTTTACTAAAAGCATTTGGGAGAAGAGGTAGTACAAACCTAAGAGCAGAGATTGCCAGCACATAGCATTAACACCTTACTGAATGTCAGCGTGCTCAGTTGTGGAAGCAGAAGTAGTTCTGTCTTGCCAGGACATTCCTGGCACTTACAGGTAATATATTAAACAGAGCTCATCTACTCCAATTAATGCTGATATACTATATTCCATCACCAACTAAAACAATGCTGTTTCATTTATGCCCAGTGGCAGCTTCTGGCAAGAAGTCTTCCAAATGGCATAGCAGGCTTTAAACTAGCCTAAATTAATGATAAGACATTATATTATGAATGAAAAAATGTTTATGTATTAAAGCATGTAATTTTTCAATGTTAAAAAAACTTTGAGTTCGCATAACAAACACACTGTGACAACAGAACAGATGAAATTACATTACATGCACGTGGCGCCAGAGTGACGTCATAAGGTTAGAGTGAATGAAGTATTAGGAGTTGTGCCTAAAAAGCTTGCATGTATGAAAACAGAATCCTGTCCTCCCACATTCACTTCAAGTGTCAAAACCTGGAGACGACAAAAGAAATAAAAGAAAAATTTTTGGACTTGGGATTTATCAATCATACCAAGCCTACAGACTTACTAGAAAATGTTTATGTTAAGGATGCACTGGCACAGGAATTTACCAGAAATTTAACAGAAATTTAACAGAAATTACCTGCCGATACATAAACAATTCTAAGATGCGGAAACTGAGAACAGATTAACCTGAATTAGCTGGATTACCATTTATCTGTACAGGGTTAGAGATGCTACAAAACGAATAAAATGCAAAACAGCACTTGTTTCCCCCAAGTCTTCTGCTCTTCAGGAGTACGATAAATACCAGTTTGAATTATGAGTAAACCTAAATATCTGTCAAATATTTATGTATGTAACACAAAATATTTTACTAGAATTTTGTTTGTTCATTTTATTGTGTTTTGCTGGTGCTGCGTGTGGCACATGGAAAAAAAAAAGGCTCAACGACTATTCTCTAGATTCCACACTGCATCTGGGACACAGTGCTGCCATGCCCACACAAGCTGTGTGAATGCTGTAACCTGATGTTACACGCCAAAATGAAAGGCAAGAAGTTCCATCTCGCTCATGCTGTGATTTACTCTGCTCTTCAGCTGCTTGCAACACACATGCATGGCTAAACAACCACTCTGTCCTTAACGACATGTAAAACTGTGGTGGCTACTGTCACAATGAACACAGCATCACCATAAAAGGGCCTTTTAGGGAATGCTGACTGTTATTGTAACAGCATTACCAATTCCCCAAAAATATACATACTTACACTGTGCTGTAAGTACCTATTAGTATTTTTATTTTTCATTTTGCAAAATACATTTTTGCTTTGCTGTAACAGAGACTACAGTGATGCTCTCTGTAATCAAGGAATAGAAGATTTGAGAACTGCTGTTATTTACTAATGAATAAAGTTGCTGCCCATCCAATCAGAGACTAAAATTAAATATCCAAAAACTTTCATGGGGGGTTGGGGGGCTGCACGCCTACAAGTGCTTTAGTTTTTCAGTTCTCTTCCTCATGGCAGCGACAACAGTCACGATTTTCAGCCCACTCACACAGAAAAACTTCCTGTCTCATTTCAGATGGAGAGCTTAATGTGTTTGCTGTAGCTGCACTGTTCTCTCTGTGGAGACTAACTGCATGCAGCATTCACACCTCTCCATGAACACTGGCTGGTCACGAATCTGAAACAATGAACGACTGGATGATTCATCTCAGAACAGTGGTTACGTTCTGCCAACAGAACTGAGTGGGTGCTATCTGTTACAACTCTAGACGACTACGGAGAGACATATTAAATACTACTTGTTAACTTCTGCTTTAGTTTTGGACCATCTTGAGTGTTCTAGGCCCAGATTCCAAAACCACTCAATACCCACGCACAATGAATGTATTTATTATGGAAGAATTTAACAGAATCTTTAACAGTAACCAAATAAAGAGACGGTCTACTTCAAGCAGAATGCTGAAACATCAATCAGCCCTTGCAACAATATTTCTGAAAAGT